ATATATATATATATATATATATATATATCTATAGATATATATATATATATATGAAATTGTATATAATTCTAATTTATACGAGACAATTAAATACAAAGAAAAAGGTGATATAAAAATTAATTATTAATTGTCATTGCTATTCAATAATAACTTATTGACAACATTTTGCATATAATTGTATTAACGTGATATTTGTTACAATTATAATAATAAAGAAGTAGTACAATTCTTACGCAATATAGCCTTCGTTTGATTATCTGTCGCTCCTGGCTTAGGGTGAGTCTCGGCATCCTTTTTTGGAATTTTCAGAATTTTCTCAGCTTGATTGCGAACCTTTCTTTCATTATACGCAGCTTTATTGACATTATCAATACATTTTTCTTCAGTAATCTTACCACCGTTCCAGTCACATGCCCAGTCTAAAATTATAAATAATAGCGTGGTAGGGAATGGCAAATTATAATATATACATCACACACACATACACGGAGAAAATTTTATAGTAAATATTACTATGGTGTCGCACTAGCTGCGGACCATCGAGGAATTTTAAGTTAAATTACTATGTTTATGGTAAAAATTACGTTATTTTATCGTTTTTAAAACAATAATTATAGTATTTTAACTTAAAATTCCTCGATGGTCCGCAGCTAGTGCGACACCATAGTAATATTTACTATAAAATTTTCTCCGTGTACACACACGTGTAGGTATATACAAGATGTAACAGTATTTTCTCAAAAAATGTTCCATAAAAAAGTTGTAGGATGTAGAAAAAGACAAAAATGGTAAAATCAATTTTTGAAAAAATTCATTTTTCAAAGTTTCATAAAGTTGTCATCATTTTTTTTAATGGAATCATATAATTTTTCTTACATAATATAATTTCTCCAGTTATTCTGCATATAAAAGGATTTAAATAAAATTATCAAAAAATCAATAATTTACGAGATATTTTATATTTCGTGTTAAAATATGCCAGAATAAAGTATAAAATATCTCGTAAAGTAGATATTAAATATTAACCCTAATGCCTCCAACGTTTTTTCCAGCACTTAATTTCTCCAACCATGCACTTTCGAGTCCCACGCGTTTTTCAATATGTTAATGCTATAATAGCTTTGAAAAAATCCCCAAAAATTATTATAATATCTTTATATCTTCGACTAAAAATCAATGTGAAGAAAATAATTTGGAAATCATTTATTTAAATATTTTTTTACAACAATTATATGTTGGAGGGATTATAGGGTTAATTTTTTTGGTAATTTTTTCTTAACACTGTTATATGCAGAATAACTGAAGAAATTATATATCATGTAAGAAAAATCATATGATTTTATTTAAAAAAAATGGCAATAAATTTCATGTAATCTTGAAAATTTCATGTAATCTTAATTTTACCATTATTTGTCCCCCTCTAAACCCTACAACTTTTGTACCGAACATTTTTTAAGAAAATAAGCATTTTTTATAACATATATGTGCACAAAAGATACTCACAGTAAAGAGCTTTATAAAAGTGGGCATCAATACCCGGGCGTCCATCTTTTTTGCTGCCTTTTGCACAAAATAAAGCTAAATTCTTCCCATATACCTCGATCAGTGCATGCTGCACAAGGAGAGGCCAGTGATTGACAAGCTCCAAAACTTTGGATTTATCCATAATATTCGCTTTGATGCCCTCAGAAAAATAAAAGTTCGTTCCAGGATATATTTCTACCTAAAAATGCGCTCAAATTACATCATCTCATATAACATGTACAAAACAATAGCAAAAATCAATATTTATCAAACAATTTACCTTGCCTTTGCCGGGAGATGTATAGAAATCGGAAATCTGCAACAAAAAAAATGTTGGCAAACAATTGTATTTTCGCAAAATCTCAAAGTTTCTATCTTACCGTAACGAAATTATTAATCGACACAACTGACCATGATGTATATCTCTTCCAACTCAGTAACTGCGCGCCGAATGGGTTTTCCGAACTTTAAAACACAGTTTTATTTCTCGTTAGATAGTAAAATCATTAAATTCAAAATCAAATTATTATAAAGAAATTATTGCAAAAAATATTACCTTAGCCAGAATTCGAACCTGGAACCTCCAACAATTTGTGCGGGTGTCCTAACCAATTAGGATAATGTAATTTCGATTTTAATGATTTCACTATCTAACAAAGAATAAAACTGTGTTTTAAAGTTTGGAAAACCCATTCGGTGCGTAGTTACTGAGTTAGAGATGTACATCATGGCCAGTGAGTCGATTTATAATTT